TGCAAATTTAAGTAATTTATTGACTATTCTTTCATCTATGTTATTGGTGTAAATAAAAAGAGCAAAGATCCTAAGACTGAGCCCTGAGGTACCCCCACATGTGGCATTAAACCAGTTTGACTGAACTCCGTTTAACAACCCTCTTCTTTCTCCCATCCAGTCACTCTTCTATCCAATTTGCTAACTTATCCCCCACACCTATAGATATAGTTTTTTACAAGCACTTTATGTGGCACCTTGTCAAATACTTTCTGAAAATCCAAATACACCAAATCTACACCTTTACCCTCATCTACATAAGCATTAACCTTTTGTTTAATATTGCAGAATTCGCTAAATAAATATCATATACTGTTTTATTTTATTTTATTGCATTGCTGGTGTTATTCTCAAAACGATCAGTTGGTGGGCACCAAACGGAAAAGATCCAAAACTGAAATGCATCTTTCACACTCGTCTTTTTTAAAAGTTTGATTATCACGAGTTTTAATTTTTCAAGAGGTGACTAAATAATCTTAGCCCATATAACTGTTTTCCTCCAGATAGCAGAATGACCATTTTAACTTTTATACTACAGATGTTTATAAGTAATACAGTTTTAACTTTTAATCTTCTGAAACTGGTCGTACCTACAAGTCGCAGATAAAATCTGCGAATCCAAAGCCCTGGTGTTTTCACTCTGCGTGGTACGAATGTGCTGAGCTTTAAAGCTTTCGAAGCTACACGTATTAAGAATTATGTAAAAAAAAAGCTGATATTATGCACACACTTACTAAAAGCTTTCATCTCAAACACCACTTATCGCTACTATAAAAGCATCATTGTGATAGTAATTCTATAGTTTGGATGAATGTTACTGTTACAATAACTACATATCAGTGCTAACAAACGTTGTCGTACGTTACTCAAAGACCCTCAGTGTTAAAGGATATGGATCGTGAAATTGTAAGTACTTCGTTAAGCTACTGATGCTGCTGTCATACACGTGAGATATCAAAAATGTTTAACTTCTTTCATCAACCAACTCTTATGTAAGTATTTGTTTATATATATAATAGCAAAGCATTTTGAATATCTATTTCTATTATTTTTGTAAGTCTGTTACATAGTGTACAAAATTTGATCGAGCGTGGATTATAGGTTATAGCGGTCATTAATAACCTTATGTCTTAAACTGCTGAAATCTCATGCGGGTCACATCATAAGTAATTAGGCAGTGTACTTCGATCAGTATCTTGTCTCCAGTGGCCTTTCGTTGGTCTAAATATGGAGGGGATTCAGAGACTCCCGTATAGTTTGAACCTAGCCGTTATCACGCGCCTTCAGTCTCTTTGGCCTGCGTGGAGGAGTAGTTGAGTTACAGGGGTCACCATCAGTCGGGTAATTATCTGACCCCTCCAGCGTTTGAATAACGAAATGAGCCAGAACCAATGTGTCGATCTTTCTTTGTGAGGGCCTGCTGGGCTCAGCGGGCGACAGTTCTCATCCTTCTAGTAAATAGATTGTTGCGATACGGGTAGAAGAACAAAAAAAAACAAAACAGTAATCTGGTTGTGATTGACGACCACAGCACAGGACTACTACACATCTCGTTTATACATAAGTGTTAAAACATAGTTGACACTAACACTTTTAAATGTATCTTCTGATAAAACATCTTTATCCTATTTAGTAACATTGCGGATATCGCCTGCTCATCAGGGCGAAACTAACACTGAGTGTTTTTTCTATATAGCAAAGTCACATCAAGCTATCTTTTGTATCCACTGATGGGAATCGAACCCCTGATTTTAGCGTTGCAAATCCGTATACTTAACGCTGTCCCACCGGGTGACAGCTGATAGTGAAGGAAAAGTTGAATATTCAAATACAAGAATCGCATTTCATTCTACCATGGAGAATTGATACGTTATTTTAACCTTTTGATGGTGGACATTTTCAGTCAATTATGACTAAGTGCTCCTAAAGCCATAAGTTCCTGTACGTGTGGCTGACAACAAAAATGTGAATAACAAAAGTTATAAAAAATTAAAAAATGGCGTATTGTGGTGGGTGTTTTACAAATGTGTGTTTGTGTTACCAGTGCTGACAACTGTCATCTATACCTACTACCTGTGGTGCGCAGACTCTGTTACAGCGTCCCCTTCCTAAACATTTGTTTTGTTGCGTCCCCGTAAAATTTATTTGTTTATATACTGTACATTTAATTTTTCCATATTAGTTGTAGTTACTATATTACTTAACAGTAGTAACAGTTATACTGTTGTTTTAAAAAAAAATATTTTAAAATTTATACTTTCAGAGATAACTTGTATGCTTCTGTAGCCATAGATGTGCTTCCCTTACCGACTTTCCGCGCCC